ATACGATGGTTGTACTGCTATGTCAGGTATTCATAATGGTGTCCAAGCAATTATTAAAAATGAATTTCCTAAAGCTGTATTTGTACACTGTTCATCACATAGACTAAATTTAGTAATAAATGATTTGAATAAACTTCAGCATGTTCAAAACTGTGCTGGAAGTATCAGGTAAATTATTAAATTTTTTAGGTTAAGTTCTAAAAGAAGAAAAAGAATAGAAAACATTTCTTTATTTTGTGAGACTAGATGGTCAGAAAAATATAAAACTATAAGAATTTTTAGTGAACATTTTATTGGGATACTTAGTTGAACAATTAGARATAATATCTATGGAAACAGGCGTTGATTCACAAACAAAACGTCAAGCATTTCAGTTACATAATGCAGCAACTAAATCAAATTTTATAGTGTGTTTATTCATAATGGCAACATTTTCTGCTCAATTAGAACCTATAACAAATGCATTACAAGCAGTACAGTTAGATTTATCTCATGCTAGAAAATATATCAGTGAAATTATTGAAGTTTTTAACAACCTGGATGCGGATAATTATTTTCATGYGATTTTTAAAAAGGCTCAAAATGTTGCAAATGAGCTTGGAGAAGAAATTAAAATTCCTCGTATTRTTTCTAACCAAAASCATCGTTMAAATCATCCAATAAATATTCCTGAAGATTATTTTAGAGTTTCCTTATACCAGCCATATGTAGATTCCTTAATAATGCAATTAAAGCTAAGATTTTCTAATGGAAACAGTGCTGCTCATTCCTTATTCAATTTACATCCTAATACAGTAGTCACTCGATAATTCGAACCTCGATAATTCGAAAAACTCCATAAATCGAACTAAACGCTAAGTMCCCTGAGAAACCTCTATAATTAGAAAAAAAATACATGTATTCCGGTCCCCTCRATWATGTYTGTCGGTGAGTCACACTCTACAATTCGAACTTTTTTTACACGAATCTATAATTCGAATTTCTTTAAACACGATTAAAGATTATAAAGATTATGTAAAATCTATTTAACGTACTCGTAATGAAACTAATAACGACGATGGTCAAATATTATCGTAGTTTAATGTTATCGTATCTTACCTACCTAATCTATACCAAAATAAACCTCTGCTATG